AGTTAAACAATGCATTGATCAGATCGCCACATTACGGATCATCATTGAACAAAGCTTGGAATGGCAGTCACCTCTCTACCTCGCTCAACTTCATCGACTTTGAAAAGGCCTTCGATAGTGCAGCGTCGATCGAGAGGCGATTTGGAAACTACTTCGTTACTACCATCGGGTGCCGCCGACAATTATACATCTCATCCGACAGTTGTACGACGATGCTGCATGCCAATTAATCCACAACGGGAAACTTACGGAATCCCTCGAAGTGAGGACAGGAGTAAGACAAGTCTGGCTGGCTGCTTACTATCGCCAATGATTTTCCTGATTGCAGTAGATTGGATAATGTGACAAACAGTGGCGGGCAATGAGGAAACAGGCATAAAATGGACTCACACAAAAACGACTTGGAGGATCCGGAATTCGCCAATGATATATGTCTGACTTCCCACAAACTGGAAGATATGCAAGCGAAAAGCAACAAGTTGGCGATAGAAGAAGCATCAAAGATAGGACTTCAGGTGAACATAGAGAAAACAGAAGTAATGAAAATTCCTGGACAGGAACAACAACAACAGACAACAATCAACCTGCATAAATGGGAGGAACCTGAAAGAAACAACCTCTTTTACCTACCTACCTGGGAAGCATCGTTTCAACTACAGGCGGACACTACTGACGAGGATATCAAAGCAGCGAGAATCGAGAAAGCAAGACAAGCTTTCATTACTCATCAAGTCTGTGTGGAGGAGATGAACACCACTCAGCATGAAAATGAAAATAAGATCCGGATTTTCAACTTCAATGTGAAGTCAGTCAGTGCTACTCACTATACGGATCAGAGACTTGACCAGCGCGTCATAAAGAGCATCTCAAACAAACTACAAACCTTCATCAACAGCTGTCTTCGCTCAATACCACTCAAGATCAGATGGCCGGTCAGAAAAGATCAGCAACAGGGATCTCTCGGAGTGAACCAACCAGGAACCGATTGTGAAGCAAATAGGCAGGAAGAAATGAAGGTGGATTGGATTGGCCATAGTCTGAGAAACCATCAAGTGATATCACTAGACAAGCCATTGGTCGAGTGGAACCCGAAAGGGAAGCGACGAGTTGGTCGTCAGTGTGAGGGTGGGTGACTTGGAGGAGGTGATGTGAAGAGGAGATGAAAGCGTGTTGTCAGACCTGGAGCCAGGTGAAGAATCTAGCCGAGAACCGAACGCAATGGAGACGTGAGCGGCTGAAGCCCTATGTTCCTCTTGGAATTAAAGGAAACAATAATAATAATAACAATGCTCTAAATCATTTCAAATGTCAAATAGTGGATGGAGTAATTTGAAAATTACGAGTTCGATTCTAGAGTATTGTTATTATAAAATTCTCCGAAATAGCTAGCCAGTCAGCATTCAGGTGTTCCGAAGGGGATTAGGCTTTCTGAACTGAGTTGAACAAGACACACACTGCTAGGGGCGGGGAGGGGGGCTCGACGTCGAATGAGTGAAATGACCTTCCGGTGTTTTTAGAGCAAGCACCCTGCTGCTTTGACGGTAGAAGTGCGTTGGGAACTGCTGAAAGCTGGGAATCGAACCCGCATGACATGCTTAGTTGGAGAGCATTCCACCCATGAAACTATCCACCTATATGTATATATACACACATTGGTAGTCCGGCGTCTAGATCACTTCGATCTGGGTGGCAAGCACTACTGATTGATGTCGATCGTGTCCAGATAATGATTTCAGTCGATCAGCAGTATATGGAGGAGTCATGCGTCTATGCTTATCTTACTGATTACCACTTTTTGTGGCATCAAGCACTTACGCATGATCTGATCGTGATCTGATTAGTTTCTGTTTCCAAAGGAAACTGTGGTGAAATGTCACCAGCACCACTGTGGTGAGAGCTGCCTACTAGCCAAATTGGTAGACAGTAATTTACGTCAATATTTACGTTCCCAAGATTTGTCGTGAGAAAATGTGAACAAAGATTGATTCAAAACCGACCACAGCAGACTTTGCGTAGGCGGATGCAGTTAACATATAGAGGATTTGACATACAAGAAACAGTCAGAAATAGATGAAAGATTAACTTTACGTGAGAAACAACCAATCGGAAGACTGTGTTTGTTTGTTTACATATCCATAGTAATGTACATGAACACATATATAAACATGCGTTGATTTCCTTAATAAATGATCTGTTGCCTGACTCTTGCCTTCTGTCGTTACACCACCACCACCTTGAACTGTGCTAATCGGAGATACCGAATTAATTCGCTAAAATTGAGAGAACTTGCATCAAAGTATGACCTTAGTCTTATATCATACGTTAGTTTTTTTTTCCTTCGCGTTCCCCAGTGGAACATAGGGCTTCAAGCTAGTGGCTTGAAGTTTCTGTAGCAGTGTGTTTATTTTACAGGATGGGGTTGCTAGCCACTTCATGCCCAACCTTTCCTCTTCACCGGCATTACTTCTGGCTTAGCGAGGTAAAGGAGTGCGCCGGTCGGGGATCGAACCCCGGACCATGTGCATGGTCGGCCAGCGTCCTAACCGCTATGCCACCGACGCTAAAAAAAACAAAATACGTCAGCTTTACCCTAATTTACTTAGAGGTGTTATCTGTGGTGAACCAAATAATAATATAGCGAATATATTCATTCAGACATCTATAAAAAACACAAAATATAATTGAGCCAGCAAAGAATATCCCCCTTTTCGATAAATTCCTCCTCTTCTCGCTCTACAATTAGATCTATATATGCATGTTTATATACATAGAATATTCTAGATTAGTAGTCAATAACAATATCAGTGTGTGCCTTTTAAATAATATCGATTTGTAAAGTAAGATCACAATGGAATCACCACAGTTCATTAAAGATGCTTAAATTATAATAATAATAATAGTAAAAATAATAATATAGTAGCAAATAGAATATCAACTAAAATTAGGAAAATTCCACAAAAATTCAGGATCATTCAAGCCTAGATGGCCAAGCGGGTAAGGATAATCTCTGAACCAATCAACTTCTCTGGGATGCACAAATTAGGCTTGTTAATCTGGATCCCAACGACCAGCCAGCCTCATCAATATTGAGTAGTCGAACTGTTAAGGTGAAATTGAGATTTGTTGTTGGTATGCGGTAAATGACCCTGAAAGCCGCCTGGTTAACATCAATCAGTCTTGTGTTGTGTATCCACAAGAAGATAAGTGAGATAGAATAGCACTGCGAATAGATTTTGTTTGTCCTTTACTTAACCAACCAACCACTGTGCAGGGTGATGTTCGGAAATTCGACGAGAAACACGCCTAATTGTGTACGGCCTATGCAAGTAACTGGCTCACTCCACAGGAGCAGTTCAATTGGTAGATACACACACATGGAAGAGGCGAAATTAGTCAGTTTGTCTTTTATTCCCGAACGCAGAAGAGGAGTGGTTTTAAAGATACAGCGTAATTCGGAAGCAGGGAATGCTCTTTTTACCGCCTCATTTCTAAGGCACAGCTGTGTTAATATCTCACTGGTGTTGTCTCCTAGGAACTGTATCTGTAAGAATAAGACCTTCCTTTTTTGGAACTGTTGGTGTAACTTGGGCTGTTTTGGTTTCAGATTCAGATTCTTATCAATAAACTTTTCAGGATAACCATTCTCACTTAGCAACCGTTTAATATATTATTAAGTTCCTCGTCAAGACATTCATCCGAGCAAATCTCTCTTGCTCTGTGGACCAAGCACTTTATCAGATTGCGTTTGTATTTCAAGGGCACAAAGCTGAGAAAATGTGTGTACTGGCCCGTTGATGTAGGTTTTCTATAAACACTTCTTCTTATTGTGCCATCCTCTTTTCTCGTCATAAGGACGTCTAGAAATGAAATACTAGAGTCCTTTTCTTTCTCAATAGTAAAATTTCTCCAGGATGTTCTTTGCTTCTTTTTCGTTCTAATCATAATCAAAAAGTAACATCCATTTACCGACAATAAAATTCGAGTTCATTAAGAAACATCCTTCAATGGCCCATTATTTTCTAGTTTCGCAAGGAAAATGTCGGCTAGAATGGTGGTCCTAGTGGTGACCCCATTGTCACACCATCGATTTGTCTATACAGTTCCTTATTTCTATAAACCAGTAGAAAATGAGTGTAAGTTCTCCTGCGTACTCCACTTAAAAAACACTTGGTTTCAAAAGTTGACGTAAACCAAACCAAATTTCTGTACTCGCTTCGGCGGTACATAAATGGAAGGAACCTGAAAGAAACAACCTCTTTTACCTACAGACATGGGAAGCATCGTTTCAACTACAGGCCGACGGAACTGACGAGGATATCAAAGCAGCGAGGATCGAGAAAGCAAGACAAGTATCTCTCAAGTCTGTGTGGAGGAGATGAACAGCACTCAGCATGAAAATGAAATTAAGATTCGGATTTTCAACTCCAATGTGAAGTCAGTCACTGCTACTATACGGATGGATCAGAGACTTGGCCAGCGCGTCATAAAGAGCATCTCAAACAAACTACAGACTTTCATCATCAGCTAGTTGTCTTCGCTCAATACCACTCAAGATCAAATGGCCGGCCGGCTAGAAAAGATCAGCAACAGAGATCTCTGGCAATGAGCGAACCAACACAACAGGAACCGATTGTGAAACAAATAGGCAGGAAGAAATGGAGGTGGATTGGATTGGCCATACTCTGAGGAAACAAACCATCAAGTGACATCACTAGACAAGCCATTGCTCGAGTGGAACCCGAAAGAGAAGCGACGAGTTGGTCGTCAGTGCAAGAGTGAGGGTGACTTGGAGGAGAAGGAGGTCATTTGAAGAGGAGATGAAAGCATGTGGGCAGAGTTGAAGCCAGGTGAAAACCTCAGCAGAGAACCGAAGGCAATGGAGACGCACGGCTGAAGCCCTATGTTCCTCTAGGGATTAAAGGATACAATAATAATGTAATAATAAACCAAATTTTTAATAGAATCATACCACAATACAATATCATTCTAAACACACCGACCTGTTTAATCCAATTACGATAGTGGACCATTTCATAAGTGACTAGAACTTCAGCTAATTTATTATACTTTTTTGTTATTTCTTTGCCTTCCTTTGAACGCATCAATTTCACTTTATTATTGAACATCAACATTGGACCTTCAATTCTCCGATATAATTGTTTTGCCCAGGATATTTTGCCTATCAAAGAAACAAATTGAACAAGGTTATAAAACAAACAAACAAACAATGCAGGGTAACAGAAAGACAGGTGCTTCATACATTTACATTCCCCTTATATAAATGAATTTGAATAAAGCAAGAACTACAGTGTTTATTTCGTTGCCTTCTCATCAGCTCAGCTGCACTTACACGCCAATCTTGAGTTTACTATGGAACAAGAAAGTGATGGAAAGTTCCAATTCCTCAACACTGCCATGCAACGCCTAGAAGACGGTAGTTAGTCTTCAGAAGTCAATTTATCGAAAGCCTACTTGGAATTTGAGTTTCTTGAAAAGATGTTGAAGAGCAATGGTTACCCTGAAAGGTCCATTAACAAGTATGGAAGATCTGAAGTCTCAAATGTAAAACAAATCACACATTGGAGAAAAAGCCAATCTACATTCAACTTGATTATAAAAAAGGTAAAAACATTGCAGCAATGGTCAACAGAAGACTGAGTACGTCACTAGAGCATAGCCTATCCTGCAGCTAGCGAAGCTGGTTCCCGTCTATCAAACAACTTGCTCTTTCGTGCAGTCAAATCTTCTCTATCATTCACTTACTTCATTTCAAGAAGATATATCAAACAACATGACCAGGAGTGTTGACATCAGATGTAAAGTATTATATACTGGGCAAGGTAATCATGTTGTCTTCCCATTCTGGAGACATGAGATTACAAACAGATAGCCTTGAAATGGCACATTCTGACTTACTATGCAACAGTCAATAAGCCCCTCTGCACCACCGAGACTCCACACGTTCCAGACCTGAACAGGTGTATTGTGACCAACCTAAAGACCAGCTATCTCCTGAAGCCTTCAACGTCTAGACCATATTACTAAACAACAGGTTTTACTGGCAAAAACTACAGTTTCACGCCTTGAAATCACATTATAAATGTGAGATGCAAGTACATGCAAGCCTGCCTGGTCAACACAATGAGCCTAAAAAATGAATCCTACAGAATCCTTCAGAAGATCGTTTCGCTAGTCGTCAGGGACATTTTAAAAATATGAGAAGTCTTCAGTAGATGAAGATGATGATGATATTCGTCGATACTTCTTCACAAACTGACTGAAGTTCGAGCGAAACAGCGAATGACTTCTATCAGGATCTGTCTGCTGTGTTTCTTTTAATTCCTTTGTGTGTTTGGAAGTTATAGTACTGGTGTTCTTTCTTACCGACTGGAGTTGCTAATCTCAATTCCGAGTTTCTCCTTTTACCGAGTTTACTAGTGGTTAACTCATTCAAGTGAGTGTCATTACACGCCAGGCCACCACTCGAGTGGAACCCGAATGGGTGAGTTAGTTGGTGGTCAGTTCGAGGGTGACATAGACGAGAATGAGGAGATGATGTGAAGAGGAGATGAAAGCATGTGGAGACAGACGTGAAGCCAGTTGTGAGAACTTTGGACGAGAACCGAACGCAATGGAGACGTGCGCGGCTGAAGCCCTATGTTCCTCTAGGAACTAAAGGAAACACAAACAACAACAGGTGCCAAGCCATCGTCTTCACCGACGAGAATTACGAAAAATTGGGAAAGAGTTAAGCATAGTCAAACCAAAACATGGTTCCAGTTCATGAAGTGTCTGACTGTACACTTAAGCCATGTGGTAATCTGCACCGCACCCCCACCCCATTTTTCGCTTGACTTTCATATTAGACTGGACTTTTGATCCTCTGAATTCTATTCATTGTATCGCATCAGTTTTCCATTTCACTGCGTACACCGCGTACAACAAATTTTGATTTTCCAACATTATGAGCTATAATCACAGTAGTTTATTGTCCCTGATTACGCAATTATCACTGACTTATCATCGCTACCCTAACAACAAATTTTCTCTTTTTTATGAAGAACGTCGCTATGATAATAAATATATATATATATTTCTTACAACAATCCTTCCTTATTATTATATATTATTATTGTATCCTTTAATTCCTAGAGGAACATACGGCTTCAGCCGTGCGTCTCCATTGCGTTCGGTTCTCTGCTAGAGTCTTCACCTGGCTCCATGTCTGCCCACACGTTTTCATCTCCTCTTCACATGACCTCCTCCAAGTCAACATTGCACTGACGACCAACTCACCGCTTCCCTTTCGCTTTCCACTCAAGGGCTTGTCTAGTGATGTCACTTGATGGTTTCCTCAGAGTATAGCCAGCCAATCCACTTCCATTTCTTCCTGCCTATTTGTTTCACAATCGGTTCCTGGTTAGTTCGCTCCCAAAGATCCCTGTTGCTGATCTTTTCTGACCAGCCATCTGATCTTGAGTATTGAGAGAAGACAACTGTTGATGAAGGTCTGTAGTTTGTTTGAAGTGCTCTTCATGACGCGCTGGCCAAGTGTCTCATCCGTATAGTGAGTAGCACTGACTGACTTCACATTGGAGTTGAAAATCCGGATCTTATTTTCATTTTCATGCTGAGTGCTGTTCATCTCCTCCACACAGACTTGAGAGTAATGAAAGCTTGTCTTGCTTTCTCGATCCTCGCTGCTTTGATATCCTCGTCAGTTCCGTCGGCCTGTAGTTGAAACGATGCTTCCCAGGTAGGTGGGTAGGTAAAGGAGGTTGTTTCTTTCAGGTTCCTTCCATTTATGCTGATTGTTGTCAGTTGTTGTTGTTGCTGTTGCCCAGGAATTTTCATCACCTCTGTTTTCTCTATGTTCACCTCACCTGAAGTCCTATCTTCTCTTGATGCTTCTTCTGCCAACTTGTTGCTTTTCGCTTGCTTCCTTCCTTACTAGAGGACTAATTTATGATGATAAAAGAAAGGTATATTAAAATCGTATTATAACATGTTTTATTACATGTTATAGGTTGTAAATGGTTGACGAGAACCAACAAAATAGAATGGATTCATATTGTTCTGCAACACTGGTTGTTCTGTCTTTTTTTTTCTAAATGCCTTTCAAAAAATGTTGCATCTTGAAGTTATGGACTTTTGTGAAAAATTTCTAGGTGGATTATTAATCTAGTCACTTACTGGCGTTGATTTTGGTTGAAAGTTAATCTTTCAAAAGAATGGATGGATACTGAACAAAGAATAAATACTCTTTTCGATAACCCCTTCATCATCATCAGGCTCTACAGTTATATATCCATCCATTATAGTGAATGAATGAATAAATGAATTAGTCAATCTGAACGAAGAATATTCTTTTCAATAATTTCTCTTCAGGTTCTTACAATTATAAAATATAATATTTGTTGTCGTTACAATAAGGCCAGTTATGCGGCAGATACATTTTTAACGTAGAATAACAGATTAGTTATGGGGTGTCAAAATAAATAGTCGTATTTGTGTGACAAACGTGCTAGGCTGAATTCGATTACAAAATAATGTAAAACGGGAGACAATGGTGATTAATCATAATAGATTTGTAGAGTGGGGGTAGGAAAATTGACAAGTCAGTTCAAGGTTATAAAAGGGTGTCAGGTGAGTGGCTAGTACAAAGTGGTCTGTGTTAAACAGGAGATAGTAAGACTGCATTGGGAGGTTCATAATGAGATAACGAATATGTGAAATGAAACAGGTGGAGGCATATATTGAGAAAAGAGATTATATCACTAATAATAAGTCCGGATAGTATAAACGAAAAAAAAAATTCGATAGTATTGAGAGAATGTTTGCATGAAGGGCATAAATTATGACGAATAATGATAATATTAATAATAATAATAATAGTAATAATTGTAATAATAAGCAAAGGAAAAAAAAAAAAAAGCCAAGAGGGTTAAGGGGAAGGAGCACTCTTGGTGAGAAGAAGAATCATCAATCCAAGTTTGGCCACGGTAGGAACAGCGTCTGGACGTGTTCTTTTTGGATACAAAGTTCCGGTTTAGTCGATCTTATTGCAACAGCTTCAGCTATGTGTAGAAGACGTAAGCGAACTGTACGTGATAACGACTTCGGAATTCGGTATATAACCCTGAAAGCTGTGTTGACATCGATATGATGTCCAGTATCGACCAAGTGTGACAGGATCGAGCTTTTTATGCACTTAATTTCCCCTCTGCTGAACCAAGCTGGTATATGTTCTCGAACCCGTAGACGAACCTGCCTAATCGTGCGCCCTATATAACTTGAACCACAGGAACAGTTGAAATGGTATATGCATGAAGAAGAGCTAAGATTAGGTAAAACATCTTTGAGTTGCTGGGTGAACATTGGACGGCTACTGAAGGATAGACACAGACGTGCAGAGTAGAAAGTTTTCTTGATCGCCCTGGTTAAACGTTGCGATAGAATCTCCGCAGGAGTATCTCCCTTGAATTGGAGACGTAAAAACAGAGGCTTTTTCTCCACCGTTGTCAGTTCATGTTTACGGCTATTGTAACCTATGTTTGCTTTAATGAACTTCTCTGGATATCCGTTCTCACTTAGAATGTCTCGGATGACCTGGAGTTCTTTCTCTACACAGTCTTCGGAACAAATCGACCTTGCTCTAAATGCTAAGCATCTGATCAGATTGCGTTTGTATTTCATCGGTACAAAGCTAAGGAAGTGTGTATACTGAGCTTTGGTCTCTAGCTTTCTAAATATGGTTCTTTTGACGGAACCATCCTCTCTTCTCGTTAGTAGGACGTCGAGGAAGTGTAGAGAGTCGTTGCATTCTCCTTCGTAGGTGAAATGGACCGCTGGGTGAGCATTATTGAAGTTGCTCAAAATCAAATCACTACTTAACCCTTCATCGTACACTACAAAAGTGTCATCCATGTAACGACAATACATTTCCATATTTGCTATTTCCTCTTTCAACGGACTATTTTCTAGTTTTGCTAGAAATATATTCGCGAAAATAGGTCCCAGTGGGGATCCCATGGCTACTCCATCAATCTGTCTGTATATTTCATTATTAAACAAGAACTGAACATTCGCTGTACATTTAGCAAGTAGTTGTTTCAGATTACTAATCGGAATATCAGTGCACAATTTCTTTTCTATAATCTGTTCGCAGATATAGTCGAT